ATCATGCTACTTGCCATATAAGCAGTATCAGTCAAATTGATTTGCCAAGCAGGTGGCAGAGCGAGAGAGCAGGGTGAGAGGGGGCAAAGTTTAGGTGAAGTAAACGGTGAGAGTGCCTGTGTCACCAGGTGTATTCATTACCTAGGATTACATAAGAACACCCAGCACACGCTGAGACACATGAGATAGCCAGGCTGATTTGAACTGGCGCATCAAAGGATACAAGGAAAATACAGAAGTTTCCATCACTAAAACCTTCAATGAACTAAAGTCTGCCGTCCAGCACAGGCCCAATAAAACAAAAAGGGCACAAAAAGTTACTCAAAGGGTCGGGCATTGTCTTTGTGAGCTGCTGTGTTTCTCTCTCTTTCGTCTTCATCACATCTCTGTTGCTTTCTTACTCTCAGACATCTTTAAAGGGCTCATATCCCACATTTTTCTTATGATTTTAGCTTTTCTCCTGAGGTCTACTCATAACATTTCCATGGTTTTATGTACCAAAAACAGTCATAATTCATTTTTACAAAATCATTTTCCAACCTCTCCTTATCCTTTAGAATTAAACTGGCTGTTTTTTGTCACTGTGTCTTTAAAACTGATATATGTAAATGGCCTAAGTTCCAATTGACTGCTCTCTATTGTGCCTCATTCAAAAAAGCAGTGCAGGATGAAACATTTCTTATAACAGTGTGAATGGGCGGAGTGAAATTGCTGTAGGCCAAACAGGCAGTTATATATGTAAATGTGGTGGTTTTTGTGACATCACAAAAACAATAAGTGCAAAACAGACTTAATTCTCCACATATGGACTGTTTGGACCAGTGCATTGTGTAACTTTAACAGTGTTTACATACTACATCAAGTTTGTTTCATTTAAAAAAGGGAGGAAAATTCAGTTTTCCATGATATAGGCCCTTTAATGAGAAGGATCTAGAGTTGTTGAGAGGTGAACAGGTGGTGCAATGGAACTCTGCCATGGAATTTTTACAGGCCTTCCAGATAGTGCTGACCAGAGATATATTGTCTGTACTGGAGCACCTGTATTAGAGTCACACAACAATACTGAATTTAGTTTTTGTGTTTTTAGTATTGCTGGACAGCAACCACTATATCCAGAATTCTGCTCTAGTCATTCTTAGGTAGAAATACATTACGTAAGGTTCCTTTTGGTGGAATTTTAGAGACGAAAATAAAACATGTCAGTATGTCAGTATTGTAGTACATTCTTTAACATAGGGTGTCAGTACTCAGGAGGTTTCTTATTGCAAACCTAAATATTGTCTGACACATGAGTCCCTGATATATGTGGAAAATATTGTGATATTAATATTTTATCAGTACCGCCTGGCACTGCCTCCTGCTGTCTTTATCCTATGTAATTGATGCACTGAACACAATATTCTTTACATATGTCTGTAAACAGTGCTCTCAGTGCCCAAAGCACAAGCCTTATGAGCATTGGAAAAAATGTATTTTAATACTAAAGCTGACCTTTTGCAACACATCTCAACAACCTTAACATTGTATCACTCACACATAGTGCTCTTTGTTGAGGTAACTAATTCCGATATTCTGTGAAAGATTGAGAAATGGCTTTGCCGTTGTCTCCAAGGTCTTTCAGCTCTTATCCACAGCCACATGTGTGATTCTCTGACGTGGGGACAGAGTGTATATCATTGTCTGGAGACATCATTAAACATTCAGCTGTTCGTTTTTCCAGTGTAATTACTGAGCGGTCACGTTTCACCCTTCCTGCTTTTGGCCACAGATCTCTTCTCTGAGTGACGTCCCAGTAGATGATAACAAATGGACAATGCATTTGCCTGTGACAATAGCCATTAACAGCACTGGGCTAAACCTTCTGCTTGGCTCCAATTGACATTTTTACCACACTGTTGATAAGCAAAGCTTTTTTGGTAGGCAGTCTTAACCAGGATTTACTTGCAAATGCATCAGTTTTGCAGTTGTTGCAGCAATTATATATGCAAGATTTCCAAGGATGTCCAGGACTCACAAAGATCCACGTAGGGTTGTGGAAAGCATACATAAATTTCAGCACTGCTGAAGTTTAGTTTAACCCCTTAAACCATCAGCTATTAATCTTAAGACTTGCTACTTATTACAACTGATCATTCAGCAACTGCTATGAAACAAATATGCAAGTTAGGATGGGCAATATGATATCATGGTAAGTTTTCTGAATATATAGTGTGTATTGTTAATGTTTCTGAAATACTAAACATCTGCATGTCTCATAAAAACAGATTTAGACCTCTTATAGAGAGTCTGTAATGAAACAAATTATTAATAAGTATCCCAATACACCATTATCTTATTTTTATTATCTACCAGATGTTTGACTTTTTCTTCTGTTTTTTCTTACATAGTTTACATTTACAAGCACTAAATTAACAAGAAATCAAATTTTTCATACCCTTTTTAAAATGACATCTCTGTTTTGCTGCTGCATATTCTTTGTTCCAACTTATTTGCAAACCTCAAAAAAGTGACATATTTTTATTGAGACCATGTCTTTAAGTGTTATGATGTCTTTAAGTCTTTAAGTGTCATATTGCACACCCTTAAAGGACATTTCCACTGTTTTTTCCCCTGCATACTAATTGAGATGTAAACAAAGTTATTTAGAGTGCTTTGACATGAATGGTTCACTGTAGTGAAACTTTCTTTACAGTGGTGGTGATGAGAACCAGGGGTCACAGTGTCTATAATGCAAATATAGCCATTTTATTTACTATCCAAAACAACCAGTTAACCTACATGTCTCCTGAGTTTTTATATGTAATGTTGACAATGGTAAAATAATGGTAAATCTGAATGGGGACTTTTTTGCCTTACAATGCCCTGTTTATACCTCTCCACCATGAAAGTGTTTTTAAAAAATAGGCCAAGACTTTATCTCAAAACTATCGTAAACCAACGTCTCAGGCATCAGGTTGTCAGACCTTCTGGGAATTTCAAATTAAACCACTCAGAATGACTTTGTTTACATCTCAACCATTTAATTGCAGAAGCTTAGAAAGGTCAGTGGATCTCCCACTGAATGTAAGTTATGTAGTTATGAGAGTGAGGAACTGAAGTGTGGGCCCACATACAGGCCCTTACAGTTTAAGCAGTTAAATAAAAACTGCGAACTTGACTTCAGCATCACATCCCCGACTCCACTCCCCACAGTAACCAGTATGTATCAGTGATGTCTGTGGATGTGGACACATGTGGATGTGTGGGTGCGTGTAGCATGTATAACCCTGGACAGAGACTGAGGGAATCCCACACACACAGTGATCTCACCCCTAAAAAAGCCTCCGGACTGGATAGAGCACCCTGGGGGGAGGGAGGGGGCAGATAAAGGCAAAAGCACAACGAAACAAGGGTGACGCAATACTTTAGTGCTGCACTATCGACCCCTAAGCTCAGAGATGTGCTTATATCAGCCTGAATCAGGACAGTTGGAACAAAGTGGGTCTACACAAAGAGAAAATCTCAAACACAGTCTAACAAATAGATAGATGGTTTTACACAAAGCTCAGAATTTTTAAGCAGTTTTTGCGACCTGTCTTACAAACTTTGATTGTCAAGTGTATTTGCACCCCACAGAACATAAGCATACAAATCCTGAGAGTCCTTTCACCATAATCGCCACATGAGGGTTCTAAGTATATAATAATGAGCAGTGGGCTACATAATAAAGCATAATAAGCAGTAATGAGTAAGTGAACTGTTTAACTGCATGTGTGTAATTCTAGCTCCCTGTAATTCTGCCGTAGAGAACTCCAGTTGCAGAGACTGTGAGAACATGCAGGAGGGGGTGTTCTAATTAAAAAAGCATTTAATAAAGAATCCGCTCTCTGTCATCTCTCCAGCTCAATACAGCATTGTGTCTCTAATCTCCCTCTTCTGTCACACAGCCCTGTCCACATTCTGGCCTGGTCTCTCCTGCATGCCTTTGGATCAAAGTTTTCATCCTGAAAAAAGAAGAGGATCAGGATTCTTTAGAAAAGTACCAAACGTCTCTCCTAAATATCCCCAAAATTGCTTTATATTTATACAGTAAACTCCTATGACCACTTCCTGGTCAATGTTGCATATTTTCCAAGTTTAGGAGACCAGTATTGCCATTGTATTACCTGTGTTGTCTTTTCGTATACAAGATGTTATGCTTTGGCAGACAAAAAGAAAAACCAACAAAAGCCTCAGCTATCTTTATAAAGAGTTTTCTGCTCCTCCGGTTGGACCACCAACCTCAAGTTACCCAGCACGTTTAAGGAATGTATGAGTCTCAAGGAATGCTATGGTTGAAATAAGGGCCTTGCATTTCCTGTAACAATACTTTCTAGAAACATGCCATGAGGTAAATACTTAGTACAAGGCTAAGAGACTGAACCAGGTTAAACATGTCACAGGGCTAAGCCACACTTCTTCATGTTTTCACTCCCTCAGACATTGCCATTACTAATAAAGATGACAGCTAAGCAGCTGATGGATGTAACATGTAAGACAACTACGAAATCTACGCCTCAAAACCAAGACATAATTATTTATTCCATTATTTAACATCTAGGCTAACCATTATCGACACCTCTACCAAGCCTCTAACAAGAGCAGTCCAGGCACACTGTTCAACAACTTCTCCTCCTTGTTGGTGGTGCTGCTTTATTCAATGTGACATGAGTACTGGAGTTCAAGAAAGAGAGAAAAACAGCCAAAAGAAAACGCAACACTAAGGAGATTAGCCATTCCAGAGGAGACATGTTCCTACAATGGCCACATAATCCTCCTTGATAATGCCGAGATGACCCAACGATAACCAGGCACATAATAAAAAAAAATCAGGATTTGAAATTTTCCAGACCGACTGGCATCTTAGAAGTGAAGATAAAAATAATCAGCTCCACGAAGAACCAGCATGATGGGCTTCAGTGGTACTTAAGCTATGCCTTTACAATAAGCGCTGAGATTAAGGGGGTTTAATGGTTTTTTACCTTTGGTGGAGTCATGGTTGGCATGACCCTGTCTGATGGTGGCACACTCTGGAGTCCGTCCTGCCAGACTTGCTGACCTACTCTGACCATTACTGACGCTCCTCTTTTGCTTGCTGCCCTTAAACCAACTGAACGCCCGTCCCAGGGATGAGCCACGCTTTTTCTTGCCCTTACTGACTTTACTCTGCAGGGCCAGGACCTCAGTTATGTCCCTAGGCACCAAGTCCCCCATGGAGCTACTCCTGGACATCTTCAGGCGCTCTGACTCCACTCCAACAGTGTCCTGGGGGAACATTAACATCACAATTTAGTCAAAATGAAAGGCATGAGATCCCAACTTTACTATGGAGGGTATAAAATTGTTGGTAGACTAACAGAGCAGTCAAGAGAAGCTAAAGTGGCCAGGACACTCCTGTAAAAGAGATTTTTAAGAGATTTGTCCTGGTTAAAAAGGTAAATAAATTGATGGAAAGATTTAGCAGTGCTTGAGCTTAAATAACAATAACATCCAGCTCAGATGTCCCAAAGCAAGTCTTCCTCAGATCTTCCGTCCACAGAAGGAAGTTAATGTGAGAATAGAGATGGGTGCCCAACACATGCCTTTACTGTCACATGCAGGTGATAGCAAACCCCAGCTCAGCCTGTTCCTTGTCAGTATTCAGGTGCAAATGCAACCTCTTTCTTTAGAACAGGAAAAATGCCTTCCTGCTAAACCTCCTAGTCTCATTTGTGTCGCGAGGACTAGAAAAAATGAGAGAAAAAACAAAAAGGGAGCAAAAACGAGAAGCACAAACTTCACGCAAAAGCACAGAGAGTAAAGCCCTTCACTCGCCTTTGCTCTGACAGAAGCACGCAGGAGAAAACCCGTAGCGCAGTCAGACTCGCCCACCAGCACTTTATTTTTCGCAGGCTAGTGCCAGTGGCAAAACTCTCTCACTGTTCCATTCTCAAACCCAGTGGAGAGATGCTTCTTTTAGAGAGTGTGGCCGCTCACCCAGTGTGGCTGCAAACCACCACTGTGCACATTAGACAGGCAGAAAAATGCCTGGGAGCTGACAGAATGGACAGACCCCCTGAACAGACCTGCAGGGTAAATATCCATCCATATACTCTCACACTTCTGTCTAGACACACATATACAAGTATGCACTAACCTACTAACCTCTTAAACTACAATAGACGTTCACCTTATATCCACACTGCTACATAACTACATATTAGCGTCACCAAGTGATTTATAGCACCCATATCACTCTTTTTAAAATGAGTTTGATGTAGTTTGTAAGTTCAAAACATACTGTTCACTCACCTGTCCATACAGTCAGTATATGGAAACTGAGTGGCAAAAACAGCTATCATTCACTGTATTTGTGATGTCACAAAAACTAATGCATTTACATACATCAAACTATTCAGCCTAGAGCAACTGAAGTTATAAGGAGTGTTTCTGTCTGGATTGCTTTTTGAATGAGACACAATACAGAGCAGCTAATCTGAACAGACACTGTAAAAACCAGCCTGTTTAATTCTAAGAGATAAAGAGAAGTTAAAAAATAGTCATGTAAAAATGAAATGTCATAAGAATACACCAGAGAAAATAATAAAACACAAAACAAATGTTGGATATGGGCACTTTTACAACAACAGTTAAGAATAACACCTCAATAATAACCCTGCACTGTAAGGGGTTAATAAACACACTCACAGGCATAAATTGTTGTCCACACATTCACATGCACACACACTTACATACAATGCACTCTGGAGGGGATCTTCCCTTCTCTTCTTTTCTGCTTTTGTCCCTCTTTTTCTCCGTCTCTCTCCGTTCCCCCCTGAGCTGAGCCGTGCTGGGCTGTTTGCTCAGCTCTTTCGGGGTGACTAGAGCTCCATGCTGGTCAGTCCTCCCCCTCCTGTCCGCTCCCAGCTCACTGCTGGCCTCTATTCAACTCTGCAGAGACCAACTGCAACACACGTGTATTCCAGCCAGCGTTGTTTCACAATGACAAGCTCCCTCCCTCCTCTCTCTCTCCCTCTCCCTCTCTCTCTGTGTCTCTCTCTTTTTTCTCTCTCTCCCTGTGTCTCTCTCACTCACACACCCGCATCCACGCACAGCACACACACACACACACACACACACACACACACACACACCACTTCACTCCTCTCCGCCCTCACTCGTCACTCTAAGACATAGCTTTTTATTCTTCCTTCTTCTTCCTCTGGAAGCTTTGTGCTTTGTGTTCCTTTGCACAGAAAAAGTGATGAACTGAATTGATTCAAATGTTTACATGATTTCCACACAAATTAAACATCGTCCACGCAGCTTTTTTTTTCTCTTTACTTACTTCTGGCCAGTTGTGCTGATGGAATATATTTCGTTGGCATGGAAATGATCTACATTTGAATGAAGTAAATTCAATACATCACTTTTTCCACTTTCCTTTCATTCTGATATAGTTTCCTTGTAGCTATAGTGTCAGGAGGTGAGGTGGTCCTTAGTTTGTGTTATCATAGCTTTATATTCAATTTCTATTTAACTGACTTATAACATCCAAAGGCTTATTATTGACTACATGGACTACAAGAGTTTTTCTTAAGTTATAGAAGTTTGTAAAAGATAAGCTACATGCAGACTGTCCAGTGGGGCCTGCCCTTTTAAGGGGTGAAATATGGAGAAAAAAAAAATCAAGATTGGGTAACACTTTACTGTAGGGCAATGTTCATAACCCTACATGACATCTACAGTCATATGCAAAGGTCTGGGTGCACAGGGTCAAATGATGTGTTTTGTGGATTTTCTAAGTGGAAATAAGTTAACACATCCTCTTCCTTTAACTTCTGCACTTTTTAATGCATAATTACTGTGCCACCTCCTTGTTTCTATGCTCATTGTCCATTTCATCAGCTCCACTTACTATATAGGTGGACTGTAGTTCAACAATTGCAGACTGTAGTCCATCTGTTTCTCTGAATACTTTGTTAGCCCCTTTTTACCCTGTTCATCAGTGGTCAGAACCCCCATGGACCCTCACAGAGCAGGTACTATTTGGGTGGTGGATCATTCTTAGCACTGCAGTAACACTGATGTGGTGGTGGTGTGTTAGTGTGTGTTGCGCTGGTCTGAGTGGATCAGACACAGCAGTGCTGCTGGAGTTTTTAAACACCTCAGTGTCACTGCTGGACTGAGAATAGTCCACCAACCAAAAATATCCACTCAACAGCATCCTGTGGGCAGCGTCCTGTGACCACTGATGAAGGACGAGATGATGACCAACACAAACTGTGCAGCAGCAGATGAGCTATCGTCTCTGACTGATCTACAAGGTGGACTGACAAGGTAGTAGTGTCTAATAGAGTGGACAGTGAGTGGACACAGTGTTAAAAAACTCCTGTGTCTGATTCACTCATACCAGCACAGCACACACTAACACACCACCACCACATCAGTGTTACTGCAGTGCTGATCCACCACCCAAATAGTACCTGCTCTGTGAGGGTCCATGGGGGTCCTGACCACTGAAGAACAGGGTAAAAGGGGGCTAACAAAGTATGCAGAGAAACAGATGGACTACAGTCTGTAACTGTAGAACTACAAAGTGCACCTATATAGTAAGTGGAGCTGATAAAACGGAAAATGAGTGTAGAAACAAGGAGGTGGTCATAATGTTATGCCTGATCGGTGTATGTAAACACTGACCACATCTTTGATATCAAGTTGACATTGCATCTATGTCAAGTGATAGTATGTTGTGTCCAGAATCTTTCTAGAGTGAAATGACATAGACTTTGTGGCTCTGTGTATGACATACTTTACCTAATCAGGCTCAGTACTTTCTGTGACTCTCAGGTAGTGAGTGAGTTTCATTTTTTTCCTTTTACATAACTTAGGCTCACATCATCTGCACTGCTAACTACTAGCAGTGGCTCATATTTGTGTGGGTGCTTGTGTGTGTGTGCTTGTTCAGAGTGGTTGTGTTTGGTTGGAGGGGTAACTCTTTAACCTCCGTTAATGAAAATCCCTCCCAGGAACTTTCCCTTGAACTCTGACTGCTTGGCAGCATGAATTAGCTATTTTCAACTGTTTCACAGCAGAGAGGAGCCATGAAGTGGAAACTAAGAATAGCGCAGGCATAGTGATGTCACGCCACATGGGAGTCAGTGACGGGGGAACCGGAGCAGGGCTCATCTGGTTTCAATAGGGCTGTGCTGGTGTACAGCTGAGTGGGCTACATCCATCCACTGGGGGCACTGGGACCAGATTAGCTGTTCCATTGTTTATATCCTACTGCTATTAATGGTACAGGCTAATACAGTACAGGTAATATGAGTATAGAATGTTCAGTGTGGCCCATTAGATTGGATAATTGGATAATAATACATTTTTTGTTGTTGTTTTCACTCTGTAGGCTAGTCCAGTACATGTGATTTGAAGTGAAGCAATGAAGTCAATTGCAAAATGCAGTCAATGTTAATTTCAACTGAGTTTGTTTTAACTGGAGTTAACGTTGTATTTGGTGATAAATACACAAATAACAGCCACTGCGTTTAAACTTTCATGCATAGTCCCCCCATTTCAGGGGATAAGTAAATAATAATAATTGGACAGTGGGCTGCTCTGTTGTTTTTTAGCCAGATGTGTATCACACATGAGATCTACCTAAAAGTCTAGAGTTGATTCTAGGTATGATATTTACATCTGGATTCTGATACTGTTGTCTCACAGCATGAGGACCAGATAATTGTCAATGCTGTAAAACAGATCATAATCAATAATCAAAAAAAGAAAACCAATAAATAGGGTCATATTACAGTTAAGTTAAAAAGTACATAAAGGCCTATGAAGTTCTGGGACCCTGATGCACGTAAAAGATAAAGATTTACTTTTACCAGCATGATAGAATGAGGAAAGTGTGAAAAAGGATCTGCTCATGACCCAATACACACCATCTCATTTGCGCAGCATGGTGGCTGCCAGTAAATGTGGGTCACTTGATTTTATTGATGATGTGACAACAGCAGCAGCAGCAGCAGGATGAATACTGAAGCATCTTTGTGACTTTTTTTTGACAGGATTTGAATGTTTTTTGCTACCCAAGTTAGTCACCAAACCTGAACCCAAATAAGCATTCATTTCACTGACTGAAGACAAAACTGCAAAACTGAGAGCAACAAACCCCAGCATAACAGGAACTGACAATGGCTGCTTTACAGACCTGGCAGAGCACCTCAAAAAAAAACAAAACAGAAAATGGTGACATGTATGGGTTTCAGAGGTCAATCATTTGCAACCAGATCCTAACATAACAATGTAATTTAAAATCACGTTTAAGTCTCATTACATAAGGTCCCTTGAGATGGAATGGAGAGGTATGTATAAAAGGGCTGTGTCTGCTATATGGTTCACCCAAATAGATTTAAATTGCCTCAAATTGGAACTGATCAAGGAGTTTCTGAGTGGCACAAGCATTTGCCCTTTAATCAAGAGATCACAATTTTGATTTGCAGCAATGCCACAGCCATTGGTGGCCGGGAGTCCAAGGAAGCATAATTGGCTTAGCTGTTTCTTGATTGGTAGGGCGGAACTGCCCTCTCTCCTCATCATTCAGCCTGATGCAAGCCAATTCTGACAGAATGTATATTTTCTGATGTAAAAGATTGGCAGTTCTGCATTCACTAGCATTCTCCTCCAAGCATATTAATCTGTCCAATGGCATTGCATTAGCAGCAGTTTGAAAAGATGCTCTAGCTTCATGTGTTTTGAGGAAAGCATATGCTACCCCCCACTCTCTCCACTTGGTAGCATTGTGTGATGGGGGAGACCTAGCTAGTGGATGTAACTGGACTTGACAAAAAATGGGAAAAATCAGAAAAAAGTGGCTTTTCATGGTAACACTGAAAATCAAATTCTTTTAAATTCATCCTTTTATACTGTTACAAATGCTACCAGTTTTAGAAGAGGAGGCAAGAAATGATCATGTATATTGTGGTTTGCAATGATGGTTTACCATAGACTAAAACTGAGGTGCATTTATCTGTGCATTTGAATTTGCATCTAATAATATATAACATCTACAATATTTAAAATTTGGAAAGGCTAAGTAGGCAACACAAATTAGAAATCGTAATGAATTTTCCTTCCATGCTATGATATATCCATACTATGATATACTATGATATATAGAGTAGATATATGAGCTAGCCAGTGTTTTCTTTAGATGATAGGTGGGGGAGGAGGGAGGGGGACATGAAACTTCATATTATTGGTTAATATTATTTCTCCCTGCCCACTGGTGCATGGTGACATCATCAAAAAACAGAAAGCATTTTAGAGGTGTGAAAAGTCACAACAGTTTGTTGGAACGAAACCAAGAATCATTAGATGATATGATGAATCATGCTTAACATGACCAGGCACATGACCTAACAAGGTAATAAGGTTCATGATGGTTTAATGGAATTTTAAATGGCACAAAACATTAATTTGCAGAAGGCTGACGCCTAACTTGTCCTTCATGATTCTTCAAATGCATCACTATTGTTTTCTATCAGCTTAAAAATCAAGATATTTTGCTGTTGTTATGGCTCAAATCATCAATCCTACAGAGAATTAACTGACCTCAGCACATTGAAATCATAATATTAGGCATTACAGCTTAGCGACTGAGTCCATGGCTGGGCGTTGACCCGCTAATTCTATTGCGAACATAACCATGTTGTACGTGTTGGTTAATGGTTTTCTATTATATGGTGTTCAATCAGAGGAAATGTAAGTGGTTTTAAAGCTAAACACAGATAAGGGAGATGTGTGGCTCAGGATATGTATCTAGGAAGATTCAATATGCACTGTAAACAGTGGAGGAGTTTTTTTTCCAGCATGATTGTTTGACTTTCCCTCTGCTTTGAAAAGCACAGATGGAGCTCTTCTGCTCTTGGCCTCTGTCTGCACTGGGCTGGGCTAGACTGGGTCCAGTAAATTGTCCAGTAAATCAGTACTGTCTGGGGATCACTATCTAAGTCATTTTATCAGGACTGCAGAGTAAAGATATGTACACACA